ACTGCATGTCCTTTTGTTTCAAACAGCTATCACTTGACTTTGAACGCAACATTTAATGAGCAAAGTATGACAATTTACAATACCAATTAGAAAAAAAGCACTGCTATGGAAATTTCATATTCGTAAATTTTGGTATAAACTGATCTCCTCGCTGCTTATTTTTTATTTCAGCTAGGATGAAACGATAATGTCAACAACGTGTTGTTAGTCGCGGTGGCGTAGTGGCATATCGGCCTAAAGGTTTTGGGTTGGAATCCTCACAGGGAGTAGATATTGAAAAATTAACGGTCACTATGCCTTCTTTTTCTGCCTTCTATCCACCTAGTGGAACATAGGCCCTCAACCAACTCAAACCAAGCCGCTCTATCCTTTGCTATTGCATGCAGCTCGCCCCATGATCTTCCCATCCTTTCAACTTCACTTTGTAGCTAAGTTCCCAATGTTTTGGGGGTGGGGGGGGGGGGGGGGGTTTCTTTATTGATATGACCCCGTGGATTACAATGTAAAGACATTATATATATATATATATATATATATATATATGTGTGTGTGTGTGTGTGTGTTTCCTCAGCGTGTGTGTGTCCTATCTAATACCAGCGTCTTTTCTTCACCCCTCGATTCATTGCAACTTGTTTAGTTCTCTCACAAAGCTCAACATAAGTGATTCTATCATACCATTTAGTTCCCTATATTCTGCACAGACACCCTTTAATTAATGTTTGTAGTTTATCAGTAATTGCTTTAATGGTTCATGTATTCGCTCCATACAGCAGTAGGTAGCATTTGACATTCGAATTAACAATTTTAAGTTTAGAACTAGTTTTAATTTCTTCTAAACTCCACAAATTCTATGGTGCTATGATGTGCCTTGTTTAAAATGGGTGCTAGGAAATGTAATGGAAGTAAAGGCGGCTGGTAGAATTACCTCATTACTTGTGAAATACCAACTGGTCTATACAAAGATGACTCTAGAACACGGCTAATGCTTCTCTGGTGTGAAAAGGGTTCACTGCTTACTTACTTGACAGTTGTATAGTTCTATGATTTCCCTATCTGTCCTTACTAATGAAACATTTATGCAGTCTTATAAAATGACTTCTTCTTCTTATAGTCCATGTTCCTGTCTATCCACAACCTTCTATTTTGTTTTCTTTCACTCATCTCGGACACAGACTATTCTCCATGCAATGACGTCAAACTGTTCAACATCTTTTCTCTCTGCCTCCCTCTGCCTCTCCTGCACTCAAGTTTTCCTTCTGTCACGATGTATGCTAGTTTTCTTTTTCTCATCACATGACCAAAGAATGTAGATTGTATCTTTCTGGCGTGGGAAATTGCTTCTCTGACAAATAATAATAATTTAAATTTACTTGACTGAACAGTAATTTGCATTGTGCCCTAAAAACAAAACATCATCATCAGCATCATCATCATCATGTAGCAAATTCTTGACTCAATGTAACCCTCACCACAGCCCACTACAACCCAACCGGGTCCAATGACATCATTCATGCCGTATATACTTTCCTGTTGTCTTCTTGTTCCGTCCTTTTTGTGTGTGCTGCACGGACCTTGCATTTTCTACAGGGTACAATGCCCTTTCACTGCTGTTCTTTTCACGCTGCTGCAATCTTTGATTTCATAATCATCATCATTATCCTCATTTGCAATTATAATTCACACAGAACCAGTCCAGTTCTCCTCCATTCCATTCTATGCTGTGCAATCATTTCTCCTCCATTCCGTTCGATGCTGTGCAATCATTTCTCCACCATTCCGTTCTATGCTGTGCAATCATTTCTCCACCATTCCGTTCTATGCTGTGCAATCATTTCTCCACCATTCCGTCTGCCATATCAGGTCTGTACCCTGAAAATCAGGGATACCCCTAGGTCGTGCGGCGCCGTGCATGCTCCGTTGAAGGCGCCAGAATGTCACAAGAGATCCCTCGGAGCAAACGCTCTTGCAGAATTCGTTCCATTTCGCTGTCTTAGCTTCCTTCGCAATTACCTTGAAAGCCACAATGTCTGCTTGTTGACCTCATCTTTCAGACCTGATCAGTGCGTTTTTTCTTTCCTCAGAAAGTTTCGTGTGGACGGATCAATTTTCCTTGCCTTTTGCCATGCCTTGACAGCTTTCCCTTTTTCTAGCCACGCCATGTTGACTACTTCTATAAAAATATAGGTCTAGCCTTATATGTCCTATAAGCCTAAAGGCGTTGAAAAGGGTCCTTAACTTTTTTTTTACAACGAAGCGCCATCTTCTTTGGCTAGCAACTGTTATTACCAGTCGTTCTCCAGAATTTTTCTTACTTCTTCACCCCACTTGAATTTATCCAAGTATAGACGTTTGACGTTTGTCCACAGTTTTTAAAATATCCGCGACTTGTTGCTTTTTTACGAAAAGTTTTCTCGATTTTCAGATTTTCTAAGCAAGACATAATGACGGTAATAATAGTGAAATATAATAAAGAGATGTAGCCGAGACAGCGAAGTGATTACCAGCTCACCTGCTGACTGGAATATTTAGGGTTCAAATCCGCATAGTGACGAACACGTTTTGCCCCCTTTTTCAAAATGGACCTCGGCTCCTAGGGCGACAAAACCTACCCGTGTACTAGGCAATGTCATGGAAGGTAAATACGGTAGGTATGATGTTAACCCCATCACCCACCGAGTGCCCATTGGTGTATAAAATATTACTCTAGCATCATATGCTCGATGCTCTACTGGGATTAATAAATACTTTTGTTTTTAAATTAATTATAACAAAGATTCCTGGGGATCGTTGCCGGAGCTACGGAGGTCGTGCTCTGTGCGGCGCTTTCAACCAACGGCTAGCCGTAGAGAGGGCGAGCCGCATGGGATAAAACCTAGTGCAATGAAGTCTATCCTCTCGACTTTAACTTTAAAGATCGGGGTAATAATAGACACCATGCTGGGTAAAATAAAGAACCCTTTACCACGCTCGTAGGTGTATTGGGCATACAGAGCCGGGCCTATATTTTATATACCACACGGCTCTTGATAGTCGATGCTGTAAGCATCACGCCAGCCACCTTTACTTCCTATAAATGTTACCTGGTGCCCATTTAAAGCTGGTTCAACCTGGCAGCCAAGGTCGTCTTTGAAAAAAAAGTCCACCAACAGTTCGAATTAAAACCCACGACTGTCTGATCCACAGGTGAGCATCCAAGCGCTACACCACACTACAGTCTATATCACATTTGATGGAAGTTGTAGAGAGCAGATTCCTGGCATTGTTGACACTTTGGTGAGAACACTGATTGTTGACGAAAACACAGATGAAGGTGATATTGTAGTTTACACAGATAGGTCAGTAATTAGGGGCAAGCGAAGTGCATGGACCTTCACAGTAAGCTCAAGGGGGAAACGCGTCAAGTAGATGAATGGCGCCTTTGCTGTTACAACTAGTAGCCTTTCAATGGAAACTATGGCTGTAACAAGGGCTTTAGCATGGCTTGGTACTCAAAAGTTCATACACCTATGCTTTCTTAGTGACACGATGAATTTGCTTGAAAAAATCCAAGCTGGATTTATCGGGCAAGAATGGGTTGAAACACTAAGCACTTCACGAATATCTGCCCTAATCTTCATCTTTGTGCCAGGTCATGCAGGTGTTCAAGGGAACGAGCGTGCAGACTGCCCTGCTGACAATGCAGTTGCTATGGCTGGCCCAGTACTGGACAGAAGTGATGTTATCAACGCCATGCGCTGCACTTACCGTACCGAGGAGAACGCCAAAGGACATGACTTCATATCCCTGTCTAGACTGATGGATATGGGGGTGCAGCCTGAAGCTGCGAGCAATGAACATTTTACTAAGAGGACAAGACGTTCCATTAACCAACACAGAACAGGCGTCATCGGTCGTTTTACACTTGTGAAGCTTTCGAGGAGGAGATCACAGCACCTACGGATCTGTCTGGAGTGCTGTGATGATAATCCTTTCGAATCCCTAATCCCTAATCACCACGGCCTGTAAATTTGCTTAGAAAAACCACAACAGCAACCCCCTCCCAACCCCCCCCCCCCCCCCCCAAAAAAAAAATTGCTGGGGCTGGTAGTGCAAAGGATATGCAACTAACTAACTAACTAATACGAGATACAAACAAGCCTTCATCCAACACATCTTCACAGTGCTGTGCCGCACACTAATGGGTCGCGAAAAACAGTTTGAAAAGCTCTGCAATAGATAAATGTAGACCTCTGATTAAGTCCATTATGAATAGATGAATGTACACACAAAAGTACACATATGTGTAAGTTTATTTATATGTACACCACCAAGTCGCACTTGTACAATATGTACATTATATAGAACATAACATTCTAAAACCAGAGTAAATGACATAGTAAGCGAAATTAACTATCCCAACATTATCATAATCAATGGTTATGTCCAGACAAAGAATAACTGAACACAAAACAGCTGCTAGGGAAACGGGCGGAAATCAGGAAACGCGCGCAAAAAAAAAAAAAAAAAGCGAATGTTTCTATAAAAGCGTTTATCAGCGAAAAAATAATTAACAGAAACACTTCATTAAAAAAAAAAAAAAAATAGAGACAACCATCCCGAAAGAAAGTGATTTTAATGCCGGGAAATCGAAAGCAATAGTTAAATGTTCGCAAACGGAAATGGTCTGTGTCTGTCGTTCGTTAAGTTTCTTAGGGACATTTTTCATTCTATGTATCAGGTCTGGCCTATGCTATGTCAAAACGAAGATGTTATTCTCCTAGGGGTATTTACGTTATGTTTTTGGAGGCTGAAGCAATGCCGCTTTAGGAGAGGTAACAGAAGAAACGGGTAGAGTAAAACATATTTAAAGATCTGTAAAACCGATTCAAACGTAAGACGTACTGGGACAAAGCTAAAAATCCAGAAACGGACAAACAAATCTGGACTTTCCGCTGACGTTTACAGCCAGTGAAAGCAGCCAAGCAAACCAACAACTGGGTTCAGCATTTGATACAGTCAGTTCAATATTTGGTACAGTCATAGTAAGATGATGATGTTTTATAAGACGGAGCTCTGAAAGCCGCTAACTGACAACTAGCTGAGTTTTGGAACATGTCTCGCATGCTCATCCCAGGAAATGAGCTAAAGTCTGAAGGTGCCGGATTTAAATCGGTGGAGGCAGCTGGGTTCATGTACCAGCTACTGGCTCGTGGGTAGCCAAAGTCCTTATGTTGCGACATGGAGGAAAAGACGCTGGAACTTAGGCCGTTGGCTTGGTGGAGGGAGGAAGAGTGTGGCGATAAATGGCTCGTATGTCCTCCATGGCTATGAGAGTTGGCAAGCGGGCTTCCTGTGTTGTCATCCGCGCAGCCGTGACTGCCGCCTCCGTTAGCGCTGCTGCTGGTTGGGTTGTTTGTGGACATGTTCATCACTCCGTGATGGTGATGCCTGGATAATCCGTTACTGGGTTGCTGACTATGGCCTGCTGGGATATGCGGCGTGCTGGCAGATGGGTAGCCAGAGCTAGACGAGGCTGATCCGTTGCCGCAGTGGTAGTTATAGCTGGTGGCAGGGGGTGAAGCTGCTTGGCTGCAGGCAGTGCTGGGCCGGTAGAGCTCCGAAGAGCGGGAGTAGGACAGAAGGTGTGGGGAAATCAACGGTGGGGGTCGAGATGAGAGGGGAGTGCTAGACGTAGCTCCCATGTCGGCTCCGTTAGCCAGATGTGACGGTGATAGAAAGTTTTCTACTGAAAAGTTGCTGACTGATGATTCTATTGGTGACATAGGATCGGGAGGCAGGGACAAGGAACTGCTTGATACTCCACATAACCCTTGTCCTTGAAGACTCAGCCCATGGCCTTGAAGCTGATTGTGCGAGAGATGGGAGGAGTGGTGAGAAAGGAGTCTGGCTCCGCCCATCCTATCAACCATTGGATGATGATGATGATGATCAACTAGACCTCCTCCTCCTATACACTCTGACTGAGGAGGGTCAGATGGTTCGACCTTCGTGCTTCTGGTCAGTTCCCCAGGAGACATTGAATTCCGATGACGCAACGAGTCCTTCTCTAACTTCACTGGAGTCTCAGAATCTGACATCGACCCGGAAGTATTACTAGCGTTTCCATTTGACATGGAACCAGAGTCGCCCCTTGAACTGTTATGTTGTATCTCCCCTTCCTCTAGACCTTCCTTTATCCCTTCCTTATTCTCATCCAAGCGCTTTAACCTCTCCTCCTTTTCTTTCTCCGCTGGACTCCTCTTAAATCGACGTCTTCGCCGGAGGTAACTCCCATTGTCGAACATGTTGTAGCTCTCCGGGTGAAGAGTCCAGTAGCTTCCCTTTCCTGGCTTCTTGTCATCCCTTGGAATCTTGACGAAACACTCGTTTAAGCTCAAGTTGTGGCGTATTGAGTTCTGCCAGCCTTGTCTGAAAATACAAAGATTACAGAAAGTTAAAGTAACAGTCCCAAAACTAGAGAGGAATTTATGGAAGCACGTAACATTTATTATGATACATTTCTGGGCTGGCCTATAGTGACATAACAAAACCCTTAACCCGCTAGGCTCGTGAATGTGTATCAACTGAAGCATACAGAACCCGATATCTTTTTTTGTCTTCCGATAGTTAAAGAAGTGTATAATAATTTGGATCTGTCCATTTCTTGGTTCTGTCATTCTTCTTTGCCTCCCTCACTTCCTACCCTCTTCTTGGACTACCCTCAGTGTCCCTTGAAGTAGAATCTTTGCAATGGAATCATGTCTCAACATGTTCCAGACTAGCTTGCTAAGTCTAACTACTACCAGAAGAGGCTCCTGACGTCCTTCGAATTTGTTAATGTTGTCTCTTACATATTTGTTAGTTTCGTGTTCTAAATAGCTGATTAGTAAAAGTTGACTATAGCCTTTTTGTGTCCAAACCTTGAAAACTCCCTTCCATTTCTGCAGTGAGAGTCCAACTCTTACATCCGTATAGGAAAATCGACAATAACATTTATTTGGATATTTTGACCTATTGGCCTACACTACGATTTAATGATGAGATGGGTTCATTTCAACAGAATCCTACGGGTTGCATTGTATGGGGTAAGGGGGGGGGGAGGGGGGGGGGTGTCGCGCGGAAGAGGCATGGGTAATATTAGATACAGAACAGAAAAAAAAGGGATTGCAGTTTAAAAGCTCAGCGTCTGCGAAGAACCGTTTTTTTTTTTAATATCTAGAAACCATGAGGTGTTAACTCATTCGCTTGGTACTATGGATATCGCAACCCTTCGGCCTTGTTTCAATAAAAGATACCGTGAATCTGGGAGAAATGTGGCTTTTTTGCCAACCCCCGGGCGTGAACGCGGACCACAAGCCACTTAAACTCTATATGTTGGCAACAACGTTCCTGAAATCTCATGAACTTCATGGGGAAGATTCTTCGGAACGCATGCTTTTCTTACTGGTTATACACGTTATCACCTTGGAGTGTGATTCCCCTTGTCTCCTTATACCACAGTAGAAGTCTATTGTCTGGAAAGTCTCAAAGGTGACAACAATAATAATAAAGGATTGTTCTTTTTCTGGTGGAATGCTCGGTATGCTTTACCCACACCTTTAAGGCTTCGTTTTAGCGCTATTTTATTAGACACATTTGTGCGAGTACCGGCACCTTTTGTTACACTTTGTAATGAGCACAGGAACCATTTTTTTCTCCACAAGACGCAAACCTGCCTTTTAATGCCGAATGCCGAAGAAGAAGAAGAAGAAGAAGAAGAAGAAGAAGAAGAAGAAGAAGAAGAAGAAGAAGAAGAAGAAGAAGAAGAAGAAGAAGAAGAAGAAGAAGAAGAAGAAGAAGAAGAAGAAGAAGAAGAAGAAGAAGAAGAAGAAGAAGAAAAAATAGAAGAAATAGAAGAAGAAAGAAGAAGAAGAAGAAGAAGAATAAGAAGAATAACAAAAAATAGAAGAAATAGAAGAAGAAAAAAAAAAGAAAGAAAAAAGAAGAAGAAGAAGAAGAAGAAGAAGAAGAAGAAGAAGAAGAAGAAGAAGAAGAAGAAGACAAAGAAAAAGAAGAAGAAGATGAAGAACAACAACAACAACAACTACAGCAAGCATATTTAGAGTTGTGGAAATGTACAAGTTAAAAAAGCAATTTTCCCGCCCTAAGGTATACTGAACACATAGTACAAGCCACATATCAATATAGACTGATCACAGTCTAACGTCAGTCGCCTGAACTTTCCAGGTAACTTCCTGCCTGATATCAAAGCTCCTACACTCGTTATTAACACTCATTGCGTAGGCTACACGATCTTCCTGCCTCTGCTTTTAAAAACTTCACTTTGTTACAAAGTGGGAAAATTAAACCAAATATAATGTCGGGGTAAAGAAAATAACTATGCTTTATAACCCTATTTTGTTTTGTTATGTCTAGTTATTCCAACCATCTATTTCGTCATATTTGTAGAGTTGATATCAGGCAAGAAATTCAAAAATTCCTTTTTCGTGACATATTTCATATTAGCCGAATCACTTACGACTCAAGCTTTCAAGTTATGGGTATTCCCACTGGATTTCCGATTGGTTCGTAAAGGGAAAAATCATTTTCCAAACATTTATTTTGCAATAACCGTGTGAAAACATTGGGTAATGATTTTGTACCCACAAAAAAAAAAAAAGTGGACTTGTAAAGATGCTAAACGCATTAGCTGTCTGAAGTTATATTTTGACTCTATAAAAAAAAAAAGTAAATATTTTCTGTTACTCTATTACTAAGAGTAATTACTTTCTGTATTATCTATAAAAATAATTATTTAATTATTATTATAAATATGATTATATCTTCTTTGTGATTAAAATATATCTTCTTTTTTTTTTTTACATAGGGATAACTACAATATATCTTCTCTATAACTAAGACAAATCTTCTTTGTTGCCAACATAAATCTTCTCCATGACAACAGTAGGACCTCTGTAGTATAGAATATAAAATCTATATGACTAAAATATACATTTTCTATGATTGAAATATAGCTTCTCTATGACTGAAATATATCTTCTCTATGACTGAAATATAGCTTCTCTGTGACTGATATATAGCTTCTCTGTGACTGAAATATAGCTTCTCTATGACTGAAATATAGCTTATCTGTGACTGAAATATAGTTTCTCTATGACTAAAATATAGCTTTTCTATGACTGAAATATAGCTTCTCTATGACTGAAATATAGCTTCTCTATGACTGAAATATAGCTTCTCTATGACTGAAATAAAGCTGCTCTGTGACTGAAATATAGTTTCTCTATGACTAAAATATAGCTTCTCTATGACTGAAATTTAGCTTCTCTATGACTGAAATATAGCTTCTCTATGACTAATATATAGCTTCTCTATGACTGAAATATAGCTTTTCTATGACTAAAATAAAGCATCTCTGCGACAATAATATATTTCCTCTATGATGAAAATTAATTTTTTAAATTACCAACAATAAATCTTCTTACATATATCTTCTAAATTCTCTATAACTTAAATATATCTTCCCTATGACTGAAATATACCTTCCCTATGACTGAAATATACCTTCCCTATGACAGAAACATACCTTCCCTATGACTGAAATATACCTCCCCTATGACTGAAATATGCCTTCCCTATGACTGAAATATACCTTCCCTATGACTGAAATATACCTTCCCTATGACACAAATATACCTTCCCTGTGACTGAAATGTACCTACTCTAAAACTAAAATACATCCTGTAATATTACTAAAATATACCTGCACATTTATTAAAGTGTGTCTCATCCGTTACTAAAATTAAGTTATGCTACTCTAGTACTAAATTATCTCAAACGTAAGTAAAATAACATGCCTTCATGTGTGTATTGTGCGTATAGGGATAGACTTATATTTTTTTTAGACCTGTCGGCCCATGGTGTGGGTGATGTGGTCAGCATCACACCGGTCGCCTTCATTTCCCAGGACTGCACCTGGTACCCACTCAAGGCTGCGTCGGCCTGAACCAAGTTCATCTTTGAAAACAGTCCGGCTCCGTGAATTTTAGCGTTACCCATTTTTTTTTTTAGGTTGAAATAGAAGGAGCATTGATACAGACTTTTAGAGAATATAATCTTACGAACAATTGTTGGGTCCATCAAAGATGACAGCAGGGAAAACTGAAAGTAAAAAGCAACCAGAAGATGTATAATTTATTTAAATCACCAATTACTGGCACCATACACTTATGGACAGCAATGGGTCGTGCATAGAGAGAGAATGGCAGATAACATAAATAATAATAGTTTTAAAAAAAGAAACTGCTTACACAAAGGTATTGAACTAAAGTAGATAACGAGGCAGAGGAGCAAGAAGAGGGTCGAAAGATATTGGAGCGGCAGAGATGTGGTTTTATAGATGAATTATGAGAATACCCGGGACAGATAAAAAGAGCAATAAGGATGTCTTGAAAGAAATGACACATGATCACCAACGCCACGCGGTTTGGCCATAAGGAGAAGAAGAAGAAGAATCACAGACCAACTGAAAAGAGAAGATCACTCACAGCGTTGAATGAGTGCCGTTGATGTCTTCAGCTATGAACCTCAAGGGTTCGGAATGCTGAAGAAAATGAATATTTCAATTAGACTTGGTTGACTCAGGAGTAGTAATAAGAACAACATAATCTTGCTTCTGCTGAAGATTACACTCGCTATCCTCCATATTTTAATTAGACTGTGTTGACTCAGAAGTAGTAAAAAGAACAACATAATCTTGCTTGTGATAAAAATTCAACTCGTTATCCTCCATATTTTACTTAGACTGGGTTGATTCAGGAGTAGTAATAAGAACAACATAATCTTGCTTCTGTTAAAGATTCAACTCGTTACCCTCCACCATGCCACCTGAATTAAACTGTTCCTAACCTGTTTTTACACCTGTACGTAAAGTAAAAGTCCCTTTTCCACGCCTTTAGTCGTATAGGGCATATAGGACTAGACCTATACCTTTATAGACCAATCGGCACAAGATGGGTGATGTGGTCAGCATCACACACACCAGCCGCCTTTACTTCCCAGGACTGCACCCGATACCAGCTCAAGGCTAGGTCGACCTAAGAGTTATAGTCATTTTCGAATTTTAAAAAAAATCCTGCTCCGCCAGGGAGCGAACCCACGACCTTCCGATACGCACGCGAGCATCTAGCCGCTACGCCACGGCGACTCCCCTTTACACCTGACGGCTAACCAAAGGATGGGATTTTGTTTCGCAGCCCACGTGACGGCTAACCAAAATAGGGGATTTTGTTTAGCAGCCCACCTGACGGCTAATCAAAATAGGGGATTTTGTTTAGCAGCCCACCTGACGGCTAATCAAAATAGGGGATTTTGTTTAGCAGCCCACCTGACGGCTAAGTAAAATAGGGAATTTTGTTCACAGCCCACCT